GAAAAATGGTGAGGTGAGTACTGTGGAAGAAGTCGAATATGAAATAGTGAGGTCATGGTGGTTTGAAGTCAGAAGTCAACTGCCGGTTATTAGACTTTTTTGCCGTATGAGTATACGTTGCCCAGGGTGCACCACGTGGAGGTAAGTTTTCCCAGTAATAAAAGCTTTAATTTAGCTGGATCCAGTGTATATTAAGCAGTGTTCAGAGTCCAAGGACAGACGTGCTTGCCTAGTAAGTAGCTCTAACCACTTCACTTGAGCTGCTCGAACAAAATAGGCGAAAGAGGGTGAAATGAGGTACAATTAAGTGTTTGAAAACTTTCGATTCTTTTGATCGCTTATGTGCTCCGGGCAACTAGAACAGCGACACTGCTCAGTCGGTACACACTACGGAGTTACAACAAGCAGACAACTGTGTCTGGGCACCGAGGTATAACACGAACTAGAACAAATAAATAATTTTATTTTTTCACTTTATTTACGTTGGTTTATCATCCACTTATACATTTTTCATGCTTAATTCCTAATATTGTTTGTACTTACTTTAAAATTCAAACATTTCTAGTATTTTAATCAATCAAAATTGAATTTTCCAATACAGTATGCCATGAACACCATTAAATTTTGAATAGTCACAAAGAATCATGAGTAATAATCAGTAACGGGTATTTTTAGGTGTTAGCAAACCAGGTGCTACTTTATGGATACATTCGCTAAATTTAAATTTTTGTGGCAATTTTAGGTTTTGAATACATTTATCTGCCGCAATGGGGTGTGTATGTGTAAAGCAGTTGATTTTCTGTTCGTCTGATTTCAAGAACAGATCAGATCGAACCAACCATGTGCGCAGTTATCAACACTTGTGAACATGTCTAAAATAAGCGAAAAGTTAAAAACTGCAATACATGAGTTTCAGTTCCTCCTATTCCCTCCTATTTTCTCATTAAAATATTCCAGATGCTTTGTCATCTGAACTCTATTTGTTCTATAATTGGTGAATTCATATAGGTATATAAACTTACCTCACAGGCAGCGGTGGGGCTAATTAATTAATTTATTTCAAAGGGTACATTTAAAGGGGGGGATAAGTCGTTTAGACACCGAAAATTTTCGCTTAGACTATCTTGTCCTAAGATTGTTCACAATTAATTAAAGAGCATCATATTCTAGTACAGTGCACACCCGATGAATGGATAGATCAAGCATGGTGGCTGATTTTGGCAGTTAAGGTGGATCACAGAATTCGAGGTCCTCACCCGGGTGTCTTAATGTTGCCTTCCGTCACTCGAGATAAACATTAAAATCGCTTTTCTCAGTAGTGTTCTTTTATTGAGTCTATCTACTCAAAAGGTCCTATCACGAGGGGGTTATAAAAGGGCTGGTGTTTATGCCAAATAATTATTTTTACTGATTAAAGGGAGGCGATTTCGAAAGTTGGCTTTTCGGCCTGAAACAAACAGTTTGGTACTAATTTTTTTAATGAGAGCTTTATTCCTTGACCAACTAACATTACTCCATTGAATTATTGATTAAAATCGATTTCATTTATATGCGAAAAATTAAATTAACGACTGTTACTTATTTATAACTTAGCGAATTTTTTAAAATATGTCAACTGGCGTGGGTCGTTATCCTGGATAATTTTGGTGTTAAACGAACCTTTAAGGCACTTACATGGCTTTATTGAATTGTGGGATACAAAATAATTTTGTGCCAAGTGGAGAGTACACATTATGTGTTCTGATGATTTTTTCCATTCGGAAGAAGCGAACTCCTCGGTTTCTCAACAAAAAGTGAATTTCGCAACCTTTGCCCAAATGTTTGAGAGCGCATCCGCAGAAATAACGATTCTTCCTGCAAAATTTAAAGCTAAAATGTCTCATACTGTTTTCAATACATCCTCCACCTTCGTTTCTCATGTTTCTCTCATAATTAATTTTCTACCTCATGATAAGTCATAACTTTCAAAGGGGTTTTTCATTGCACCTCCTATTGAGGTAGTCAATAATGGCATAAAGCTGCACCCATCCGTAATGAGTCTCGCACTCTATGGATTCCCCCATGCCTAAAAGCCTTCCACCGCAAACTTCCTCCAATTCTATCATACCAAAGCAACATTCCATCCAGATATCCTATATATTTATTCAAAATAGATAGTAGTTGAACTTTTGCCTTCTTCAAAACTTTAAATCAACCGCCAAGATCAAGCCTTCAAAAGCTTGTGGTTTCTGTAACCACCTCTGTATTGAACCCGTCTCATTTCCGCCCCAAGCGATCGACACTGTTTAGTGATAAATGGAATGAACCCGAGGAAATCGATCATGCTAACCCTGCTACCCACTCCAAAGGAGTAGTATCAAAAGCGGTCACGCAATATGTAAGCGAGGGTAATCAAATGACTCCTTGCGTTTCACCCAGAATCCCCTTGTGCACTCCCAAACTAAAGCTTTATGTTTTCACATTGATCTCCGACTTTCCAAGGAGCCTCTTATGCTAGTGGATTTACATTCAAAGTGGCCTCAGGTTATACCCATCAAGTCTGCAACTCACCTGGAAATACCATTAACAGTCTCTGCATGGTATTCACTACTTGGGCCTATTGATGGCTATCGTGGCTTTGATACACTTAATATCATTTTTTAAGGACTGAGTCTTTCATTCGCCCACATTTTCACATTTTTGTGTTCCACATTCGTCCAATATTGTAATAGGGTGTACACCCTAATTTGAAAGCATTTTAAAGATTTGAACTACGACACCACTCCCATCTCTGTATTTGCAGATCTGTTAGTTGACATCGATTCAAGCACCATTGAATAAACTCAATAGGAAATGTGTCATTAACGTTACTGATATTTGGATGCGAATTTCCAATTTTTCATCATACTTAAACGAAACTGGAGCATTTTAATTATTTTAGATTTGAAGCCTACCTTTTTGACTGAACTAATACAATTTGTGCTTCATTTTTCATGCAAATGTTCTCATTCTTTTAATTCACATTTTAAATAAGCTCGAAGCAGAAATTTTACAATTCAATCTGTTATTTTAAAATATTCTCTGTATATCCTCATTGTGAATCGGCTCTAATTTAATGATGCCACAGTGATCTGAGACTGGCCATCACAGACACTGTTTTATCCAACTTAGTTATTTATAATCCACGATCTTTTTTTTGGTTTCTTATCCTGAAACCCGCCTCATTATATTCAGGTTCCAAACTATATAGCTTTCTTCTCTATCTCACATCCATTCACTCTTACCCTTGAACGACGCCTTCTTTCAATAGCAACCGTTCTCACTTATTGCAGCAGATTAGAGTACAGAGAGAGAGGCTCTAGGAACCACTTCATACCGACCTGTCAATTGACTTATTTATAGAACCTTAAAGTAATTGAGAAGGCCTTCACTAGTTTCCCGACCTAAGGGGGAGCAGAATTTTACATTCTTGTCTCACCATTGTTTTCCATCTTTAAAGAAGACCTTATTCCTGTAATTGTAGACTATTGGGTGTAATGTAGATGGCAAATATTCTACCCTAACATGAAATTCCTTTGCATCCAGCATCTGTTTTTGCCATTTTTTCCACGAAGTTAGTTAAATTTGGAATATCACAGGCTTTTTGAAATTATCCTTCTTTTATTTGTACTTTGACTGATATCGAGGCACTGTCAAAAACTGCATGTAATCTAAAAGGCAAAAGATATGTTGTTATGGAAAAAATTGTTTAATTAAAGTGTTATTGATTCACTTAAATTTATGATGAATTCTAAAGTTTGAAGCACAGAAATTATTATAAATTAGGCTTCTCTCCATTCGTATCGCACGGTTTTGAAATTAAAGTTTTTTTAGGTTTTCAATTCCACAGATTTATTTCTCAAATTTTTTTCCGATTTATTAATTTCGCTTTGAAGTATGTGTGTATTTCTTCATTTTCGAATTCACACGGATGTATCATTTGTGTTGAGGGTTGAGCTAAGTACCCAGTGAGTGGATTAAGTCACTCGATCTTGGCGTTTATTTCTGCCAGTTATTCGCCATTAGCTAAAAACTTGTAGGTACTGAACGCCTGAATGCAGGAAAAACGCAACATGTTAAATAGCACCATCATGATGTTCTGTATTACAGGGTAGTTCTTAAGTATTTATGAATGGTATGGTCGATACACATGTAGTCACAACTGCTACACCTAGTAAATGATTTGCAAGTTCTACATTTAAGGAGAGAAAAGAAGTGAGTTTTACTGCTTGCTACCTGAGCAAATTCTAATGATCAGTACTACTGATATCTATTTCAGCAAACTTAGACTAGTAGTGTTAAGGGCCACGGTTTATTTAGTAAGATGCTGAATTCAAGCAATTACAGATTTAATTTTAAATACCACGTTCATTATCTGTCGTGTAGATTGTTGGACAATGAGCGTACACACTTTAGGCACGAGGCCACATGATAGACAAACACCTATGTAATTTGACATCTCTCGAAAATATTTCTTTTACTTAAATTCTGGTTTAATCATTGAGTTATTAAGTAAACACTTCAAAGTTGTGTCTCAATCGTCTGGAGTAAATTCACTGTGGGGGGGGGGGGAATTCATAAATAAAAGGGTGTCTTTTATGTAGATCCAAATTTTGACAACACTTGTCAGTAGGAATCAAAATAGGCAGGAAGTCAACTTTAAATTGTATAAATACTTTTGTTTCAAATTCACCCAACGCAGCTTTCCCTCACAACGAAAGTGCATTGCCATATATAACTTTCCCAATTTCCCTGTTTGTTCGTGAACTGAAAATATCGTTGCTGGAACTTTTTTTCTCGATTTCAATATTTCGTTTGCCTCATTTTTTGGGTTCAAGGAAGCCCAAAAAAGCAAAACCTTAATTTTTTCAACTTTTGGCTTATATGGAGGTCAGGTTTTGTCTATATTTACTTCTGAAATTATAGGTCGCTTGCAAGTGTTAGTAGAGCTGGCTCCTTATGGAAATCTTCGAGACTTCCTCATGAATCGGAGACCCAATACTACCCACAAATCTGCTGATCTACCCATGTCAAAACTATCAACGCATCACCTTGTCAATTTTGGACTGCAGGTTGCTCATGGAATGAACTATCTAACTAGGTTAAACGTAAGCTACTTCTTGATCATTTAAATTTTCTTACCCTCCGTGTCATTCATTTCATGCTTATTATGATTTAGATTGTTCACCGAGATTTGGCCGCACGAAACATTCTAATTGGAGATGGATTTGTTGCGAAAATAGCTGATTTCGGACTTACTAGAGCCGCTTGCGACTACTACAGAAAATGTAGCGACGTAAGTCATTTACATTTTCATTTCTCTCGGAATAACTTCATACTAGTGTTGTTTAGTGATTCATATAGAAAAAAAGGTGAAAGCTTCATATGTTTGTGCTAGTTGGAAATTCCCACTGTCAAAGACTGTCCTCACTTACGACTATTGCATCGCCATCTTGGTATCGACAATCATTACGCAAATCCTGCCACTAGATTGATCAAGGGTGCGGGTTGAGATCTACCAAGAAAGGGAGTCAAATGCGTACCCCTCATGGGGGGGGGGCTGCTGTTCTATAGCATCACTCCTTTGTCAACATGATTTTTGGAATTAACCTTGAACTTTTCAGTCAGGGCTCTCAGGTAGAAATCACCACCAGAAATAACGTACTTTTTAATTAGTACGGTAACGGAACACGAAAACAAATTGTTTTTTGTTTCTATGAATAGTCAATATGTCTTCTATATCAGTTATCCTCTAGTCAGGGGATTAGATACTAGTTTGGTTCATGTCCTGCTGAAAATCTGTATCCGACGATGGCCAAACTTATGTTTTTTGTCTAAAATTTAACTTTCCTTTCGAACATTCGGATAGAGTGCATATTGTCATCGGTGTCAGTTACGTGTCATCGTCATCATTTTTAAAGAACCTCTCTCCCCCCCCCCCCGAACTGTCAGGGAAAACCAATGACAAATTTTGTACCTCGTCAAAAGTAATTTCAAATGTGAAGAACCTCAATTTTGTACATGACTAGTAGAAAAATGATTTATTTTCCAAGTATCTAGAAAGCGAAATTGATGCCTATCCAGCAATGCAACCAGCGTTTTAATTTGGGCTTTCACAAACTCTTTTCAAATCCAAACCTGCTCTATGGCTTGAATATGACCATCAGAAGACAAACCTAATCACGAAATGCTTTATTTATTTCAAATGGCAGGCGTTTTGATAGCTACCATTAGCCTTTTAGTTGACTTCAGGCGTCACAGAGAGAAGGAGGAACATCAAAATGATAAAAAGTCGAGAGAGGGGACAGAATATTGATTCACAGATGTAACAGAGACAGACAGACACAAAGGCAGAGAAAATGTAAGATGAGTACTGTGAAGGGATCGAATATGGCATACAGTGGGGTGATGATAGTTTGAAGTCAGAAGTCAACTGCCAGTTAATAGACTTTTTGCAGTATGAGTGTACGTTTCCAAGGGTGCACCACGTGGAGATAAGTCTATCGCACAGCCCATGACGAAATGTAACAGAGCTTCATCTTCAGGATTTGAAAGTGATCCACCCTCAACTCCAATTGGTATACACACTTAGATCGTTAAATTATTACTCCTATTATTATGTTGCCTACCTAAGGTACAAAAAAAGAATGCTTTTATGTATCAGTTGTAATATTTCCTTAGAAAATTTCATTTTCAATTTTCACATTCATTCATAGTTGTTAGCGGTCTTATAGTTTATTTTACTGGTTGAAATTTTATCATCTCAATAGTATCCTTAATAATAGGTGTTCTTATTCCCCAATTCAATACTTTCGAATTTAAGCAAATCAATTATAAAATGCCTAACTGTAATTATCTAATTAACTGAATCATTGAGAGCCTAATGATAAACAGTTATCAGCAATTTTGTTGGGTTGTGTCCATCTCCGCGTGGAATTTTTAATTTCCATTTTTTTTGTTTTGTCCTTTCTTCTTATTCCATAAAATGATTCCTTAAGATTCGATAAAGTCTGAATTTCCCAAGTTAGTGCCTTCGATTACGACGTGATTGGATGTGATTTAATATCAAATATGCATTGCAGCTACCGTACTACATGCACTAAATGTTGTCGTCCAATGGTCGAACTGACTGTCTGGCTGTAATTTTAGAACGCCTTGAACCCACTTGAATATCGTTTTAATATATATTTAATTATTAAAAAATATTTCCCCAAATTTCTTGAAAATTTATTAATAGAAAATACAGGAGTCTACAGGCATATACTACATGATTCTTATTGGGAGTTTGTGGCTTGTGCTTTCCTGAGTTCTTTTAAATTTTGATCAACAAATAATGTGAAATTGTAGAATTAAGGGCACCAATAAAAAACAACATTGGAATGTTACTTATTTTTAACCTTTCTGTTTATGACGGCATATAACATAATTTCCGCCATTAATTTTAACCTTCAATTAATACACAATAATTAAAATCATTAGATGTATTAATAAGAAACCGCGCATTATAAAAGTAAACAGTATAAGCTTATTTATTTTTATATTATATACATAATAATATGCAACATGATTGTGACCGTCATTAACAACTCTTTCCAATTTTGTCTCTCGGTTAATCATCCGCATTGCAGAAAAATAACTGATTTTATCTAAAATAACGGTTCAAGTTGGATTTGGCTTCGGTTGAAGTAAATGGTCACTGGGGGAAGTTAAATGGAACTGAAAAAAAGTGATTATGGGAATAGACTAAATCTTGGAAATATAGAGGATGTGGTAGAACCTCCAGCTTAATTCCTAGTCTTGTTAAGAGGATATCCTTGCATTGTGAGACCATCCAGACATTATCTCATTGAAGAATCACCCAAATTCTGTTAAGTAAACTTTCTCGTTTATCTTTTACTTTCTGTTTTACTCTTCCAAATCGTTGACAACAGACTTTGGCTGTAACTTTGTTGGCAGTTGTAGTTATTCTTAATGGATTATTACACATACACCCCATGGAATGCATGAAGGAAGTTTCTGAAGGATGAAAGAAAGTTTGTGTTAGGTGATGTGAAGTGGTGAAATGGGTGTTTGATTTGGAGACAGCCATTGACTTTCTCAACAATGTTGTCACAAACGATCCGATTCACACCCTCTCCTCAACACCCACCACCCCCCCCCCATCCCTCCTGTACCAATTTGGTGTGATAAAAGAGGAATTCTTTGTTGTCAAG